GTATTAACGTTGCGCGCGAGGCAAAATCAAGCTGACCAGTAGATTAAAGGTGGTAATGAACCAATTAACACGCGAGCAGACACGGACGGTCTATCGCGTGAAACTTGCACGTTCGCCCTCGATTAATTGTGAAGGAAACGACGTCGATTACCACTAAATATAGTCATAGCCAGGGGGCGGCTGCTGATTTTCTTGTCGTCGAATATATACATATAGTGTAACGTGAACTTCTCGAATCCGATCGACTCGATAAATTTCGCGTTAAATCCCGTCGCGTGAAAAACCGATCGGGAAGGGCGTAGCCGATAATAAAGCGTAATTGGACGTCTTTGCCTCGTGACACAACTCGATATTTAAATAGACCTCCTCTTTTTTCCTCGTCCCTCTTGAAACTGAGCCGAGTAACAAGATTACTCGCCGTGCGACTGTCCCTTTCGAGCACTACTCGCCGATAATATCGCAGCCGATTGAATATTGATTAATTCCCATCTGAAATTCCAACGTGCCTGACACAGTTCCGTGAGCGAGTAAGTAAGATCTGATCTTAAAACCCGTCTTTGTTCCTGAAGAAAAGAGTTCCTAAAGGTATTTAATCATTTTCGTTTTATAATTCTTATTTCAATAGTCGATTCGCTTGTGTTATAAAATTCTCGTGGACGATTTAACTAATCGTAATTGTCGGAGTTTTCGAGGTTCTACCTGCTTACGTGGTCGCGTCCACGGCCGATGATGGTTGGGTACTTGCCACGGTGCAATTAACGCGGTTTAACACGTTGCAGCCTGCGAACTCTTGGAGGAGGGGGTGGCGGCAATTTTCGGACCCTCGAGCCCGCACACTTACGGGATCGTCGCGAGTATCGCGGCGCGATTTGACGTGCCGCACATCGATTACGTCTGGCGGCAGAATGAGGAACTACAGGTTGAACAGGACCCAAAGAATCCGATGCCGATGACCATCAATATCTACCCCGACAGCGACATGGTCGCCAAGGTAATAAAAAATCGAAACTATATACGATTATTGTTGAAATAAAAAACAGCACGTTTGGTGAATTTTTTTTGCTATAAACGAGACATAGTCACGGCAGAGTGGCTGACTGGAACGTGTCAGTCATAACAAGGAAACGCGAGAAGACGATGAATATTTAGAGCGGAGAGGCGTAGCTGCCAGTTGGGGGTACGGCGAGGCGGCGGCGTTCCGATGCATTTTAAATTACTCGTTTAATGAGGCAAATCGGGCGTGCTTGAAGTAGCTGCCGCATTAAACCCAGCTAGTCGTGGCTAATGAGCGCGATCGAAGGCCGAACTTCGCCTAACAACGCCCGATGAGTTTTTTATTCCCTCGCCCTTTTCACGGACGGTCACATGGAAACAAACGAGACGCGTTTATACGGGCCGAACAGTCTCCGATTAACTCTAATTAAAATTGCCGCCGATTCAGGGAATTGCAAACAGCCAACCGTCGATTTCAATCTTGAAGTATAGTAAAAGTTACGATTTCACTGATCTAAGATTACATTTAAAAATGATTCTTTT